GCGTCTGAATCTCAGCGGAGACCTCTGGGCGGGAGGGGGACCCAGACACCCGCGGCGACTCCGAGCCCCACAGCGGGGCAGGCGCCGGCTTCGCTCGCCCCGTCCGCTCCCGCGGGAGCGCAGCGGCTCCTGCCCTCCAGCAGCCCCCAGGGCGAGCCCGGGGCAGGAGGAGCCGCGCTTCTTACCTGCCTCTCCAGGAACCGCGCCGCCGAGCCTCGCTCTGCACGGGGATTACTCGCGGGCTGGGCTATTAATAAACCGCGCCAGAAACCCGAAACCCCCCAGCCGCCGCCGCCGCCCGCCCGCCCTCGCCCGAATCCATTGGGATGCCAGCCGAAAGGGCAGCGGCGGGGCCCCCCTTGGGGGGGCGGAGGGCGGGGAAGGAGGAGGGCCGCTCTCCGCCCGCCTGCCAGCCTGCCAGCCGCCGCTGGAGGCCGCGAGGCCGGGGCTGGGCAGCGGCCGCCCAGATCTGCCGGGCGAGAAGGCTGGGCGGCGGAGCCCGCCCTGCAGATCCGCCCTCCGAATCCGCTCTGCCCCCCACCCCCCACCCCGGGGGCCGTGGAGGCGCGCGTGAAGTGCCGTCGGCGGAGGGGAGCTGCGTGAGCCCCGGCGGGCAACGCGCAGAAAACCAGGAGTCCGGCAGCATCTTTTCCAACGACAAGTTTTACCACAAGCGCTCGGATGCAGCTCGTGAAAGCCGCAGATCCTGCGCTGGTGCGCCACGCAACACGCAAGGCGGTCTTCAAAGACCCAGCAATGCCTGGACCCCGAACAGCGTTTCTGACAGTGCAGCTGCAGTCCCCCTAAAGGGGGTAACGGGGCGGCATGCGTGTTGCCATTCTAAACAGAAGTTGGTAGTCTCTGCCTCAAAAAGCCCGCGCTCCGCAGCCTGGTTCTTGGGACACCCTAGGGCAAAACCTGAACTCGGCCAGTTGATTATACAAGCCATCGTTGAGTCTGCCATGGTTCTCTGTGTTGTGAAAATGCAACCTGGATCTTAACAGGGGCTTTTGGGAAGGGCAAGAGACTCGCTTGCCTAAATGCCCCTTCCAAGCCGGATGCTGCCTGGGAGTAACCAAAGAACGCCGAAACCATGTTTGTGTCCGAAGCCAAAGAGCTCAATTGTGCTGTTTTCTAAAACAGCAACCACAATATAGCACATACTTGCCTGCACGCTGCCTTTTTAAAGACGCTCCGTCTGAGGAGCCCCTTGGCGAAAGGGCAGGGGAGCCCAACCCCTGCCAGGTAGGTGGAGGAAGAGGTGACGTGATGGAAGAATGTGAGGAGAGGCACTGGTGTGTCAACCTTCCTGTGCTTGTTCACTTCGCTACAAGCCCCACTGTGTGATATGGCGCACTTTCTTTTTGGGAAGTTAGTGTATGAAGGACTGTGGTTTAAGGCTTCATGTCCTGGAACAGTGTTTCTCAACCTCGGCCACTTGAAGATGTGTGGACTTCAACTCCCAGAATTCCCCAGCCAGCCATG